CTCTCTCTCTCTCTCTCTCTCTCTCTCTCCCCCTCTCCCCCCCTTTGTCCCTCTCCCCTGCTTGTACTCTCTGTCTAAAAAAATTTAAAAATTAAAAATTCAAAAAATTAAAAAATGGGCACAGGATCCAAATAGACATTTTTTTTTTCCCAAAGAACACATACAGATGTCCAAGAGACACATGAAAAGGTTCTCAGCATCACTCATCATCATGGAAATGCAAATAAAAACCACAGTAAATTATCAAGTCACACCTATTAGAATGACTATTAACAAAAAGACAAGAAGAAAACAGGTGTAGGAAAGGATGTGGAGAAAAGTGAAACCTGTACAATGTTGGTAGAAATGTAAATTGGTGCAGCCACTGTTGAAAACAAAATGGAGTTTCCTCAAGTAATTAAAAAAAAAAAAAACCCTGCCATATGACCCAGGAATTCTACTTCTGGGTATTTATCCAAAGGAAATAAAACCACTAAGCCAAAAAGATATCTTTACCCTAATGTTCATTGCAGCATTATTTACAATAGCCAAGACATGAAAACAACCTGTGCCCATTGATGGATGAATGGGAAAAGAAAATGTAGAATGCATGTACAATGGAATCGTATTCAGCCACAAAGAAAGAAGGAAGTCCTGCCATTTTCCACAACATGGATGTACTTTGAGGTCATTAAAACTTAGCAGTGAAATAAGTCAGAGAAAAGCAAATACTATATAATCTCACTTATGTTTATGTGGAATCTTAATAAAAATGCTCATATATACAGAGAACAGATTGGTGATTGCCAGAGGTGGGATGTTGGGAGGGGGGTAGGCAAAATGGGGAAGGTGGTGAAAAGGTACAAAATTTTGGTTATAAAATAAGTCCTAGAGATGTAATGCACACCATGGTGCCTATAGTTAATAATACTGTATTGTATATTTGAAAGTTCTTAAGAGAGTAGATCTTACATGTTCTCATTGCAAGAAAAAAATGTGTAGCTGTGTGGTTATGGATGTTAACTAGTAAAAAAAACTTGGAAAGTGTGTGAGATTGCATATACTAGTATATCACATTGGTGTTTATATTATTGAAGAATTAGAAACAAACTAAATACCCAGCAATCATGGATATTAACTGATCCGTGTTCTCAAACTTCAGTCACTTCTGTATCTTCTCTGTTTTGCTCTATTGGAAGACCACGTGAACTATTTCATATTTTTCTATAAATTTACATTTAACTTTAGCCCTGGCCAAAGCTATTATAGCAAGAAAAGTGTGAATCCATAATTAAAATGAAGATACTTATGTGTGTGTTACATCTAAAATCATTTTATGTATTATGAGGAGCATAGGAAAGCCCTGTTTAATGGTACATACAACACAGCATTCAGAAATGATGATGCAGTTATGTATTTAATGAATTAAGCTGTTTTTATTTTTCAAAATACTGGGTAAAAACACAGTATACCCATGTACTTTTATAGTAAAGTTATATTGTAATATATTATTTACTTGGAATACTATATGCTATAATAATGGTGGCTCAATGATGTAATTATGGGCAAATTTTTAAACTTCATTCTAATTTCCTAACCTATTAATCATGTTTTCTAATTATAATTTAAAAAGTAAAGTATAAATTATTTTATTTCTTAAAAAATAATTATAAAAGCTCTTAAATAATGTTAAAATAGGTTAATTGGGGAAACTTTTTAAAATGGCTGTACTTTTGCTCCCTTTCTTTGCCAATATTTACTCTTGCTCTTTGTCTTTGCCACTATTTAATTTTGCTCTGTTTAAAACAGGCCATTCAGAGAGGCAATATAGAAGTTGCAAGAATACATGCTGAAGATGCAATCCTCCAGAGGAACCAAGCAATTAATTTTTTGAGAATGAGTGCTAGAGTTGATGCTGTGGCAGCCAGAGTTCAAATTGCAGTAACAATGGGCAAGGTAAGGCTTAATATTTGTAAATAATAGGAACTATTGATTTACGTTCAATATGTATTTTGAGTTGTCAGATAGCTACATCTATTAGAGCGTGCTGATAAAGGCCTTCATGGTCAGGAGAGACATAGTCAAAGCGGTTAGTGAGGAAAATGAATTTGAAAGTGGCTTTTAAAAACTAAGGTCTAATTAATTGTCTTCCAATGAAGAGTCAATAAAAGATGGTCAGTGCCAGACAAGAAATACATATTGTATTTTTACTGTTAAGGAAAGGGTAGACAAATTTCATAAGTTGATCTGTAAGTAATATATTTAAAAGACTGAATAAATTTTGAGACCACTTATAGGATGCTCAATCTTTTTTTACACTCCCAATAGGTAACTAAGTCTATGGCAGGTGTAGTCAAGTCTATTGATGGTACACTGAGGAGTATGAATCTTGAAAAGGTAAAAAAAAATCATTTGATGTTAAGATAGCATCTTTTCAGTGTAAGTTTTTCTTATGACCATATTTCTATTTACAGATTTCTGCCCTGATGGACAAATTTGAACACCAGTTTGAAACACTTTATGTTCAAACACAACAAATGGAAGACACAATGAGTAGCACCAGGTAAGAAGACTTTCTCTACTTCGGATAACTTTTTAAAATAACCCAACATAAAAATATAAAGGCTTTTGAGCCTAAATCATCTCCAGAATGTGCGCTAAACATAGTGTCTCCCCAAAATGTAAGTAAGAAAAGTACGCTCTGCTCCAGATTCCTGAGGACATGTTGGGAGATGACATCCCTTATCCTGTTTTGAAATTCTAAGAATTATATTAGATCAGCTGTCTCAAAAGTATAGGACTTGGTTCTACCTTGCTTCCAGTGGTATTTTTTGGTGAAGGCATTGCATTAGAGGCTCACTGAGGCTAGTGGGTATTAGGTATTATCCTAATCCTCAGCTAATTAATCTCATTGCAAATACTCTTCTGCTTCCTTATGTATTTTTTTGGAGTGTTATTTATGCGCAAGTCAGGTGACCGAATAATAAATTGCAAGATCAATTATTTGTCATAAAGCCAGGATATTTTCAAAACCTGCAACTTAGAGATGTGCTACAAAAAAATTAAAATTTGAAACTAGTTTCCATGTAACACGAGAAAGCAACAAAGTTTTGTGAAATTTAAATATCCATATAGAAAATTTATTTCATTATCCCTTTTTTTTTTTTGATCCCAGCACCTATCACATAGTCAATCAAACGAACAAAGAACTTGTTACCATTACTTCGTTTGCTAACATGGAAACAATATTAAAAATCTAGTAAATTTAGGGGCACCTGGGTGGCTCAGTCAGTTAAGCATTCGACTTCGGCTCAGGTCATGATCTCGAGGTCCATGAGTTCAAGTCCCGCATCGGGCTCTGTGCATACAGCTTGGAGCCTGGAGCCTGCTTCAGATTTGTATCTCCCTCTCTCTCTGCCCCTCCCACGCTCATGCTCTGTCTGTCAAAAATAAGTAAACATAAAAAAAAAAAAATTAAATCTTGTAAATTTACAAGACATATTAGGAAGAAATCAACAACCATCCATCAAAATTTTATTCTATATAACTCTTTTCACAGAGGTAAATAATAAGAGAACATGCCTATATTTAGGTTTTAGAGTTAAAAAAAAAGAATTCGTGTGTATATGTTATAGTGAGTATATATTTAGACATTTTATATGTCTAAAGCCTTGTTCCCCCAAGTGTGGTTCAAGAATTAGGAACATCTGTATCATCTGGGACCTCTTTAGGAATGTAGAACTTCAGACCCTATCCACAGATGTATTGAATCAGAATTAGTTTAACAAGATTCTCAGTGATTTTTATGCACCAAGTTTTGGAAGCACTGTCCTAGAGTTTCTGATTCTTATTCAAGTTCCTTGAGTTGATCTGCAGATGAGTTTATGATCAGTCAAGTTTAGGAAACACAAGTGAATTGGAAAAATGACTTGGAAGTCAGGACACTTGGATTTCTGATCCCTATTCTACCACTAATTAACTTTGGGACCTTAAGATAGATACTCAGTACCTTGGGCTTCAGTTTCCTTAGCTATAAAATGTAGGGGTTGGATATGATGATATATAAATGCCTTTTAGCTCTAAAAAATCTTGAGATTCATTCACCCAACATTTGCTAAGCACCTTCACCTGCTTCAGGTACTGTGCTAGGTACTGGGGACATTCAAATATATACAAAACATTCTTCATAAAAACTCAACCAAAACTTACAAAAGAAATAGAGATATGATGGAACACACTTAGTTGCCCAAATTCTCATACCATGCTAATGAGTAGTTACAATTTAAATTGGCATAACCACTTTAGAAAGCAATTTAGTAATATCTACAGTCTGCTCTTGACATAGCAGAGTGATCCTATTTTTTTAACGTTTATTTATTTTTGAGACAGAGAGAGACAGAGCATGAACAGGGGAGGGTCAGAGAGAGGGAGACACAGAATCTGAAACAGGCTCCAGGCTCTGAGCTGTCAGCACAGAGCTGGACGCGGGGCTCGAACTCATGGAGTGTGAGATCGTGACCTGAGCCGAAGTC